GCATAGGTTTGGCAGCCAATTTCAATTTACACTTGCAAGAGGAGTACCCTCATGAACATGGTAAGCGGAAGTTGTAGTGCATGGAACGAGGTGAAATAAGCATGCCATTTTATGATTAAATTCACACACGTTTTCACCGATGTTACTGTAAACTAGTAGTCCATGGATAACGAGGCGGTAATCAGTTTGTGTTTGTTGATAATATGTGAAATTGGTGCTGTAGCGAAAAACCTCATGAACATGGTAAGCGGAAGTTGTATACACATGGAATGGGATAAAATAAGCAATCGTCCAGCTACAATTAGTATGATGTTTAGCAAAACAAAATATATTATCCATTTTCTGTCAACTACACTTCATTTCGAGGCGTGAGTTGACACAACATGATTGTGAATTCTTTGAATAATGCGGACCAAAGTTGTAATTATCAGTAACTGCCAGTTGTCTGTGGTCTGAGTTTGCCGGAGTAGGACCTCGTTGCAGGGGATCGGCTTATGCACGAAATATACCATTTTGACACTGATTTTAAGGGTCAAGTTAGGGGGTCGGCTTATCTTTGGGATCGGCTAATATCTACGGTAATATATGGTACACAAGGTACTGCCAGTTGTCAGACTTCCAAGTTTTGGAAGCCGCATTGGCTCAGTAGTTTCACTTGCTCACTTTTGTGTGCTGGTGATTAGGTGTCTGAAAGTGTGGATTCAGAGTCTGAATGGCAATCAACCCCAAATGTAGGATCTGTACTTAACTGAGAAAGTGTAGTCTGAAATATAACATGTTACAAACCATTTTGCTTAAGAAATATTTTTTCTAAAAAGCTTTGTGTATAGATAGTTTCAAGGTATGTCCGCATCATATCAGCAGGTTTCACCAAACATCTTGGGACTGCAATGTGTTCTGATCTCTCATCTCAGATTAAACTGACATGCTGTGATAAAAATTGAATTCTCATAAAAGCAGAGGGGTAGTTGGGTAGCCCTGTGGTTAAATGTTTGCTTGTCAGACTGAAGACCCTGGTTGGATTCCTCATATGGGCACAATGTTAGAAGCCCATTTCTGCTGTCTCCTGCTGTGATATTGCTGGACTATTGCTAAAAGCAGCATAAAAGTTAAAACTAAAATTCACACATAATATCAGAATTCACCCCAATCTACACAGTCACTATGTTTCAAGTTTTTGGATACATAAATACTAAATATGATGCTTGGATAGTCAATCGTATTGAATAAATATATCATTTGATTAGAAGATTAATGATACATCAGTAGGTTCAAGTATTGAATAAATATATCATTTGATTAGAAGATTAATGATACATTAGTAGGTTCAAGTGTGTTTCCTACCTATCTGAGCAAGGGTATTGAAACTACTTAAGGTCCCTTTCAGCTTCATGAGGAAGTCCCCATTTCTGGTGTCCCCTGCCCTGATATTGCTGGAATATTGCTAGAAGCGGTGTAAAACCATACTCACTCACTCACTAGTGTGAGGGGAGGTGAGGTGAAATTGGGTTTATCGTCGTGCTTTAGAATATTTCGCTCATATGACGACGTGCATGCCTGTGTTTGTGTATGTGCGGCTGCTTGTACTAGCCCAGACTTAAGCTGGTTTTATAGTGCTAGCCCACTGAGATACCATGCCGCAGTGAAGCATGAATACCCTACTCAGACACATTATACTGACTCGGAGCCAACCAGTCCTTGTTGTACCCATTAATGCCGAGCGCCAGGCAGGAACCAACAAGTACCATATTTTAATGTCTTTTGGTATGACGCGGTCAGGGATCGAACCCGCGACCTTCCGCTCTCCGGGCGGAAGCTCTAACCACTACTTATTGTGTAACTTTGTTTTAAGATGAAATTTTAAATTTACAGTCTGTAGATGACATGGGGATAGTGGTTAAGTTAATTTGTGATGTAGAACAAGTGGTTTTGCTTCAGAAACAGTTTGTAATCACTTGAGATGAACAAATAAAATCAAGCTAATTCGGGTTATTTTAGGAGTGCTTAAGGTTAGAGACTAAGAGTAATTGTTTATCATTTCGGGGTATAGATAAGATTTTCACAGCTGCGTGGAAAATCGAGATAAGGAAAACTTTTATTATTTGGCGTCGGAAATAAAATTCAGGGCGGGAGGGAGATGGGGGAAGCTCAACAAAAATACGGACAGCCTGACAGCCCAGCAACCTACAGTTAGGAAGGTGGCTTGCCTGATGTCATCAGTAATGTCTGTCTCTGCTTTGCGAAGTTCAAACTGAATATTTACAACCTCGTTCAGTTGAGATATTGCATTTCCACATTAAGCAAAATATGAAACATTCGCCTTGTACAAAGTGTCGTTTAATGAGAAGCGCACGTAAAATACTAAGTTATTGAGCTAAACTATACTGTGGATCTTAAACCGACCAATATCTTGCGAAATACTATTAACCGAACAGCTAACCCTACAACCGCATACATACATGCATATGTAGTGTGCACTATCTTTCCAAATTATAAATCAAATTCAACCAATCAAACCACCTCGATATCCAAGTATTTATGTTACCATTCCATTATTGTACACGGGAGTCCGGGTGTAATACAGGTTCCAGTTCTTCTGAGATGCTGCTACTTGGATGGGTGGTCGGGCACGGTGCGTGCTTCGCATCGCATCCTAGCTGCATGGGATGCACGTGATTTATCACTGGGTTGTCTGGTCCAAGTACAATGTCATTAATTGGTGTAACCTCTTCAATAATAACACCCCCAACCCTTTCCCTCATTGAGGGCGGTGGGGTAGCCTAGTGGTTAAAGCGTTGGCTCGTAACGCCGAAGACCCGGTTTCGAATTCCCACATGGGTACATTGTGTGAAGCCCATTTCTGGTGTCCCTCGCCGTGATGTTGCTGGAATATTGCTAAAAGCGGCGTAAAACCAAACTCAGTCAGTTCCCTCATTGACTGTATCAAATACTGAGGTATTGAGTTCCATTCTTGATGGAGGGCTTGTTCCCGTGCATCAATATTTTTGCACTGGAGGATATCTCTGACGACCTATAATGTCACAAACATATGGGATTGAAATCTGGAGGAGAATACCCACATCACCTTATCTTCCTGCCTAACCTTCTCCCACATCACCTAATTAGCCGAGAGCCCGGAACGCCTAATATCTGTAACCACTGGCATGGAGCAGGCTAAGTTCCCAAGTGGTCCTTCTCCCCGTTCTCCATTAATCACCTATCTGGAGGACCAAGGAAGAGTTGCTACCGCCTTTTGACGTAAGAAATCACCAACGGCATGTACACGATGTGGTCTAGCTTGTCGGAAGACTGGCCTTGTGTTCGGAGGAAGGTCATCCTAAATGTCACAACAAAACAACCCTGCCTAGGTTGTCAGAGACGTTCCATTGTCAGAGACGTTCGTTCCATTGTCAGAGACGTTCCATCGTCAAATCCGGTTTTGTCTGATCGTAACCAGGTCTTTTTTTACAGTCACGTGAAAGGCACCCACCCCCACACCATCATTAAATCTCCGCCAAACGGTACTTGCTCCAAGATATTATGTTGTGCACACGGCGCCAAACACGAACTCGACCATCAGTCTGATCAAAAGAAATGATCTTTCGTCCGACCAGTGGACCCTTCCCCATGACGTTTACTTCCATGAACGTCGTGCTTGACACCAAATTGGTCGTGCTGCTTTGAGCTCAACGTCGTCCGGCTCCATATCAGACCGATTTTAGGCGATTCCGGAACGTTCTGTTGGACAAACGATGATGTGGAATCCATTCTTTTTTTGGGGAGTGGCGGTAGGGAAGCCTAGTGGTTAAAGCATTCACTCGACACGCCGAAGATCCGGGTTCGATTCCCCTCGAGGGTACAATGTGTGAAACCCATCTCTGGTGTCCCCCGTCGTGATATTGCTGGAATATTACTAAAAGCGGCGTCAAAGTCACTCACTCACTCCATTCTGTTTTTAACACGGCACTTATTGAACGGATGAAGTCTTGTGATTCTGGGAAGGGCTGTATCCTCCCTAGCTTAACGTCATGAACCATGGTCATGTTGTCTGGCCAGTCGGCTGATAGTCGATGGCTGACAACCAATATCTCTTGCAGTAGCCTTCATTGACATGCAATCAATTCGCATACCAATATCTTTGAGCAGTTGTCAGTTGAGGACGTCCCACATTTGCTTATCATCAACGAAATCAATTGATTTTTAATGTTATCGAGCTGTAAGAACAGTTTACTGAAACTATATATTTGCTTAATGTATGTCAATCTCACCATTGATCGTAGCGAGTACGTTTCTAAAATCAATGTCCAGTGCACCCGCAGGGTCAAAACAATCATAGAAACATAATAATGTGAATATAAATGAGGGTTAAACATCATAAGTGTTGCAATACGTGTGTAGCATTACTCAATTACCCTGTTAAGAGTATAGTATCGTAAACAATATATTAGTTCCTCACTTCACTCTTTAAATTCCATTTTGTGAGTAGGAAATTAAAGGCATATCTCTAAATCACCCTTGATAATGGTGTCCAATGGAATCATATAACCTCCTTTGGCAATGGTCCCAAATGAACTCCAATGAAATCACCAGTGCTCACGAAAAGAATTAACTTTTACGCAATTCTTACTATGTACGGCTTAGAATGTATCAGATACCCCCGTAAGTACATAATTTGACTGATTCGATAGTAGCCAACGAATACACATACACGAGTGTATGACAAATCTACAAATGACTGTTCATACAATGCTGTTCAATGTGATTATACTGAACTTCCTACAGGTAGTCATGCAGTGCTAAGTCAAAGCGCTTCTTAATTGCGTCATTTTATGCGTCACATCATTGTCCCACGTGAGACCTGGCGCTTTAAGTTGAAAAACACTGTTGACAGATAACTGTATAATTTATTAAAGTCTCACGTCATGTACACAACCGACTCTACAAATATACATAAATTGAATTACTTCGCAATACATGATCTTTCCTTTTGGAATTACAAGAATTTGTCTATGGGTAAAACAATTTATACCATAAGTTGACCTATTAACAACCTATTAGCAATCCAGGGTGTTCGGCTGTAGATTGTTTCACTGTAAGTTGGAAAGGAGTCATGAACTTGGTTGTCCCCCCTGTGCGCTTGATACCCAGAGTTATTGGATACATGTCTTAATGTCACGCTGTAGGCACGCGTGTTGTTCATGAGTGGAAGTCGTCTACTTTCTGGCCAATATTGTGTAGCGCTCAGCGAGCCCTATGTTGATACAATGTGTTGTGTTGTCTGTTAGAGTGGAATGTAGGGGCTGGAGAACAGGAATAACTTCGCAATACATGATCTTTTCCTTTTGGAATCACAAGAATTTGCTATGGGTAAAACAACTTATACCATAATTTGACCTATTAACGACATGTTTCAATGGCGTTGTAAAATGTATAAGCAAGTTTTGGCTAAAAATAATTGAAAAGTTTTATTGGACATAAAAAACACATATTTTGTTAAAGACACTACACTTTATAATCCTTGCTCTGGGTAAGATGCAGGGAAATATGTTATTAAAAATAACACCTTCCATAGAAATACAAGCACTCACGAACACATATATTCATGCACAAATACATTCTTAAGGACACAAATAGTCCTACATAATTTCCGGGGCGGTGGGGTAGCCTAGTGGTTAAAGCGTTCGCTCGTCAAGCTGAAGACCCGGGTTCGATTCCCTACATGGGCACAATGTGTGATCCCCATTTCTGGTGTCCCCCGCCATGATATTGCTGGAATATTGTTAAAAGCGGCGTAAAACTAAACTCACTCACTCACTAATAATTTCCTTCAGGTCTTCCAGTCTTTTCGTATTACTCAATGACTACCTCGAATTATATTTATTCTGTAGTGACATAAACATGAATGATATACATTATACTGGCAATGACATCAAGCCCGCTATGAGGTTCACAGGCCCGCTCTGTTGACTGACGTCACAGTGTCACGTGATCATACGGTAGTTTTTATTTTTATTTTTATGTGATCACATGTTCTGGTAGTGCATCATGGGAGCGACGTATTCTCCTTGTTCAGTCTCTACCGCCTCGTAGGTCTCATCCGAAGTCGGAGCGGGCGGCTTTTCGCTTTTGTCTGGAATTAATGGAAATAAATATTGAAAATAAACATGCAACACATCTCTTAATACACTCGTGTAACCTTGATTCGTGGATATAAGGGAAGTGCGGCGGAATTCATATTTTAAATGCATGATTTCATTTTGTATACACACTGATTATTTTATTAATTGATTCAGCAAATTGAAAATGCTTAATATTCCACTCGTGAATTAAACGTTTGTCAACGAAAGTCATTTGCAATCATCACTCAATCATGTGCCCACAAAATGTGACGTCACCTTGTTTCGTGGATTACGTAGTCGGTTACTTTATACCACTGTGTACTACATCCCACTGCAGTAAGTATTGGCACCAAGGAAAGCAGACAACGAGAAGTGAGAAGGTTTTTACTTGACATTTTGTAAAAATATAATTTGACAATGGTGGTATTAGTGATCTGGGGCTATTTATCTTAATGCTGGACAATTATATTTAGTGTACTTGCGTGTAATGCAGAGATTCGGAACTTTTTTGTCAGCGAGGCGTGGCATTGTATGAACAACAAAAGTACCACTTCGTGACGTCAGTGGAGACTTAATTTACGAGCTAGCATAATAATTTCCGCGATCCACGAATCAAGGTTATCCACGAATTTAGGTTACGTTTACACATATGGTGTTTTGAAAGGGTGTACGGGACTGTAAGACCCTTGTAAATTCCGTATTTCCTGAAACGCAGACGAATTTGTTATCCTCAAGATATTTTGATTTAGCTTATCTTTAAATAACAACATTCAATCATCGGCAGAATGAGACGCAAAACGTTTCGCCATGATTTTTCCCGAAGGGTCATAAAGGGAGATAACTTAGGATGGCTTAGTTTATGATAAAATCATCGAATTTGAGTACTGTTAAACGACAAGTGAAATGCAGAAACATTTTATTTTTTTGGGATACATTTATTGACACAAACAAATGAGAAATTTCATGCTCATAATTGAGTACGCCAACTCTAAAATTTCGAAGCGATCAGCCGTTTGGCAGCCACGTTCCATCTAAGGTCAAGGTCATTCGTACAACCCGTGTACGTGTGTCACATGACAGATTTGACGGTTCGTACACCCTAGCTGGCAAATCTGACTACTGACCAATCAGAATTCGACATATTTATCTTAAGGGTAATAATTTCTGTTAGTATCAATGAGAATCATTAGCTGTGCTTCGCAAATTTAAAGTTCGACTCCTGCGTGATGTATTCACTGGGAACTGACAATCCTGAACTTCCCTGAAGTCCTACGTTTATTTCTAACCACTCAACCCATATATTTTTCAGAATAACACATCCAAGGTGGTACATGAAATACAATAACACATAATTTTCAATGTGTACAAAATTACAGCATTTTAAATAAGTAATGATGAATAGGATGCATAGCTACTTAAACGTTTTACTGATTGTACATCTACTCGTGCAGATCCGGCTTAAATTGGTCTTCAGTAATCCATGTTTGCCTTAAAGAGGCAACTAACGGGATCGGGGTGTCAGACTCGCTGACTATGTTCACACATATCATCGTACCCAAGTTGTGTAAATCGATGCTCATGCTGTTGATCACATGATTGTCTGGTCTAGACTAGAATGTTTACAGGGGTACTTCCCTGAATGCCGGCAGGTATTGTCTTAGGTAGGCAAAGCAATGAAGCGTGCTAATCCTTAGACAATGGGGGATTATGGGGGACACCTCCTAATCTTAGGTGAGCAAAATTAAAAAAATCCTGAAGTGAGCGAGAGTTCATATCGGACAATTGTAACCTTGTCTTGAGTGAACGAAAGTTTACTATTTGATTGCAGGGTGATATACATGTAATGGATTAACCTTAAAAATGACAACAAAATAGCATCCGTTGGATATGCTCAACACCAGGCTGTACTTCAACCCACCAAAGATGACCTGTGATACTGTGTCTCATTATGTGGGACTGTGAATGAGGTGAGGTGAAATTGGGTTTTACGTCGTGCTTGTAAATATTTCGCTCATATGACGACGTGCATGCGTGTGTATGTGCGGCTGCTTGTACTAGCCCGGACTTAAGCTGGTTTTATAGTGCTAGCCCACTGAGATACCATGCCGCAGTGAAGCATGAATACCCTACTCAGACGCATTATACTGACTCCGAGCCGACCAGTCCTTGTTGTACCCATTAAAGCCGAGCGCCATGCAGGGACCAACAAGTACCATATTTAACGCGGTCGGGGATCGAACCCGCGACCTTCCGCTCTCCGGGCGGACTCTCTAACCACTACACCACGGAGGCGGTCCCTATCTGGACGTAGATTCCTCGTTCCCAAAGTTTGCACGAAAAGGTCCCAAACATCTTTAATACCTGTTAGCATTAGACTTTTAAATTAATGTTAGACCTAGCCACAACTTTAAATACATTTGTCTACTAGTCTCTTACAGTATACACTGGTTATCCTTCTCATCCTGTTTATCTGTGCGTTTTAAGTTGATCGTTGTTCTTTGCTTAATTTGTTTTAACCATGCTGTATGCCTCACTGTTGTAAAAAGAATTCCTTTGTCGGGCAAATAACGTATTATCATGTTTACCCACGGAAACCCGACTGCATATCGTGCAGGGGTGGAAATAACTTTAAAATTGCTAGTGTACTCCGGTACAGTGGCACATGTAAAATCACTTGCCCTGATAATTTTTCCACTATACCGGCCGTTTTCTTGTTGATTTTTAAAATAAACAACATAATTAATATTGGAAAGTCAACTGGACACCGGTACAGTGTGATATACAAATTTGCTTGCCCGACAGAAAAAAACACTGGACTCGGGCGTCGGGCAAGGGGTTATTTCCACCCCTGTCGTGCAACCAATGTTACATGTAGGATGGTGAACTGAGCCAGAGGGAGTATCAGAAATGTCCATCAATTGCAGGAAGGCACTTCAACTAAAAATGCACCCATTTTAGTTTTTAACTCCAAAAATATTTCAAGTGAAACATAACACTCAGATTCCAACACGAGCACACTTTACGGCAATGAGGAAGTCAATCAACTATTCAATAGGTTTCAAAATGAACCTGTGCTGTACAACAAAGTTCAACATAATAATCAATACTAACAGGGATATAACAAACAACACACCCGGAAGTGTGTGTAATACAGATACGATCTCACTTCCTCCTCCTTCAAGGCGTGTCAAAGAGCTACTCAGCCATGTAGCCTTTAAGTACCGATTGTCATTTTTCCTTTTAAACGAACAGTCGTCAATAATGTTTAGCCGACACGGAACAAATAGAAACTTTTCAAATATATCTATTTAAAAGGTATTATTAATGCATTGTGGATCACACATGAAGTGGGTGATAAAACATGTTTCTTAATACTTTTGTACAAAGACTTAAAGACTGCAATCAACAAAACTGGTACTCTAAAATTTGTGATTCAAGTAAATTATGTAATTATAAAGAATATAAATCTCTTTTGTCAATTGAATATCATTTGTGTGCTATCTCAGAAAGAGAATACAGAAGACTTTATGTTTATTACGTATATGTGAGCTCCCTTTAAAGGTTAGTATTGGCATTCCCCGCAGTAATAGAATATGTACATTTTGTGCGTTAGGTTGTGTAGAAGATGAATATCACTTCCTTCTAAAATGTCCATTGTATGACTATCTCAGATCAAACTATATACCAAGATATTATTGTAATTCACCCAGGATGTTTAAGTTTAAAATTCTTTTAACATGTAATAAGATAAATATTTTGTTAAATGTTGCAAAGTTTATTAAGGAAGCTCTATTTCTCAGAAATTCCCATCCGTCATTATAATGATTATTTTGTATTATGTTGTACATGGGCCGTTGGCCTTTATACCGAATAAAGAATTGAATATTCATGCATTCCTTGCTGAAATCTCATAAACTTTTGACCTTTCACTAATCAGCGATGTTTCTCTTATACGTCAGGCATCTGCTTTATGAAGGAGACCTAAACAGCTGGTGTGGATGTGTTGTTTTTTGCCGCATGTAGCAATATACCAACAATATACCTGCTATATACCAGCAATATACCAGCAATATCACAACGGGGGACACCAAAAATGGGCTTCACACATTGTATTCATGTGGAATCGGCGTGACGAGCGAACGCTTTAACCACTAGGCCACCTCCAAAACAGTCTATTTGGGGACCCATATTACAATCGTTTTTGGATAGTGTCAGATTATTTCAGATAATTTATCTCTCTCTCTCTCTCTCTCTTTCTTCAATAGTATACACAGCTGATAAGGATGAGACTAGGTAGTACAGCAATACAATCTCGGACTTACGACCTTCCGGTATTTTCTTTCGTTCACTCTTACTTATTTGTACGAGAACCTAACACGATGTGTTTTAAAGTAGAGTTTGGAAGTGATTCACAAACACATGCGACCACTCACAATGTAGATGTGCGTGTGTTTCGGGACATTTGGAGCAATAAACTTGAACCCCTTTTAAACACTGGTCCAATCCATACCCACCCACCGACCGTCGTAAAAGGCGACTGACGGGATCGGGTGGTCAAGCTCACTGACTTGGTTGACACATGTCATCATATCCCAAATGGGTAGATCGATGCTGATAATGTTGATCACTGGATTGTCAGGTCCCCCAAATAGTGAACTGGTGTTTGACAAGTTTTTTCTCAGCGATAAATAAACCGAATTTATTAAATATCTTGGCAGAGTAACCTTAGGTATCACCTACAAGTCTACACAATATCAAAGAGATTGGTCGCAAATTATGCCAGTATTGTAAAATTCAAAACAGCATGTCAAAAAATGCAATATCAAGGCAAAACTCACTTATTTCAGTCTATGCTCAATGTTGCCTCCATCTTCCCCCACAACTAAACAAGCCGACTCTTCCAAGCAGAAATGCTTTTTTTCTTCGACTGATATCTACTCCCATGACATAATTATCTTGTCTTTTAACGCCTGCTCAGTCAATTTGTCTCTCACTCCTCAGTAAACTTTCACCTTTAGAGAGTGAGTGAGTGAGTGAGATTAGTTTTACGCCGCTTTGAGCAATATTCCAGCAATATCACGACAGGGGACACCAAAAATGGTGTTCACACATTGTATCCATGTGGGGAATCGAACCCGGGTCTTCGGCGTGACGAACGGACGCTTTAACCACCAGGCTACCCCACCACCCCTCCTATAGAGAGTTCCATATGGCATTGCATTTTGTAACATGCTGTTTTGAATTTGACAAACTCGCATAATTTGCAACCAATCTCTTAGATATTTTGTAATCTTGTTGATGATAACCTAGGGTTGCTCTGTGAATTTTGAAAATAATTTCGGTATATTTATCGCTGAGAAAGTACTTGTCAAAAACGGTTCACTTTTTTGGACACCCGATATTGCAGAGTTCGGTGTTAAACAACAACCAAACACACCAGTAAAGCATGCATCCCTCCTTTCATGATCCAGACCCGCTTTTAGCAATATTCCAACAATGTCACGGCGAGTGAAACCAGAAATTGTACCCATGTGGGAATCGAACCCGGGTTTTTGGCATCATGTTAACAACTAAACCTTCTCGACGATCTAGACTAACCTTAAAATAGTATACAGTTTTGATAGTACAAACAGCTGGAGAGATATAACACAGTACGGCTGGGTTGAAAAATAAAACAAATAACATGGTTCTGAGAATCTGAAACAAACAGGAACCGATCTAGCACCATCGGACAACACACAGACTTCACCAGTAAGAAATGACTAAAACTTAGTGACAGACTGCCTTCACTATAAGACACTTTACCTTGCTTCCGAACATGTGAACATCCGGGTTAGAATTGGTCTTCAGCAACCCATGCTTGTCGTAAGAGGCAATTAACGGGTGGTCAGACTCGCTGACTTGGTTGACACATGTCATCGTATTCCATTTGCGTAGATCGATGCTCATGTTATTGATCACTGGATTGTCTGGTCCAGACTCGAGTATTTACCGAGCGCTGCCATCTAGTGGAGTTAAACAACAAACGAAGAATTACCTTTCTTCCGAGAGGTGGCTGCAGGGGGTAGGGGTGCGGCAGAGCGAGGGAGCCCCGGGGAGTGGGAGTCCTGGCTGCCGGGCACAGGTGGTCTTGGCATTGAGGGTCGGGGCAGACTTGGGCTAAAGGGGCTGGCTGTCTTCTCGGTACCATTGTCTGAATTGCTGTCTTTCCTGGGCGGTTCTGACTTCGTGCTGCTCTGTGCCGACAACGTGATGTTAGATCTGGAAATGAGAACATGAAGATGTATATCAGAAGCAAAATGTACAGTGCAGCTTCTGTATCAAGAAACGTAAATCAGCGCCAATACTCACCTGTGACCCTCTCTCTCTCTCGCTTCCCCCCTCTCGCTCTCTCTCTATCTCTCTCCCATCTCTCTCTCTCCTTCGCTCTCTCTCATCACCACCCTCACCCTCTCATACATACACGCACGCACGTATACGCACATACACTTCACCGAGATATAGGAACTGCTCATGGAATCACCTGCATTCTGCGTCCGTCAGGCGAGGGTCGTTTGTCCCTGAAATGTAAGAACCAAACAGTAGCGTGGAGTGGTGCATTGGGCCAACGTTGCAGTCATCAATATTTCAGGTTCTCATGTTTTACCGGGTTTAGTGAACTTGCTGAGTTAAGATGTTAGAGTCTGTTTTGTGTCAACTGAGATTCTTGAAAGTATTTATACCAAATATTGTTTAAAAGCCTAAGAATGTCATGAGTTGCCTCTGATTGCAAACGTATATATATACCTGTGATTCCTGAAACAGAGCATGCTTGTGAGAAGCCACTAACGGAATCGGTTGGTCAAGCTCGAGCTCTGCCATAGTTGATGCATATCGTACCTCAAATCCGTAGATCGATGCACAAAATGTCAATCGATAGATTGTCCAGAATCGATTATTTACAGACCGCCGTGACATAGCTTGAACATTGTTGAGTGCGGCGTTGAACAACAAACAAACAAACAAACAAACAATTAAGCAAACACAAACAAACATCCAGGATAGATACCTACATTTGGCCCGCCACACGTAGTACCCTGCCAGACACACACCCGCGGCGAGAAGGAGGGCCACGGTGATTCCTATACCGATGCCAGCCCCCACCCCAATGTCCGATGACGTGGCAGGACCTAGAATGAGTGAGTGAGTTTAGGTTTACGTCGCTTTTATCAATATTCCAGCAATATCACGGCGGGGGATACCGGAAATGGGCTTCACACATTGTACCTATGGGGGATTTGAACCCGCTAAATTTTTGCTATTTACATGTCTGAGCTAGTGATACATTTAAAACAAATATACTTGACTTATACTCGCGCGTACGTACGTACGAGTTTGTTTATGAAATGGGTCAAATCGCTGTGATGATTGGCTTCAATTACACATCCGGAGAGGTTTCTTAACGTCCTTGAAAAACCGACATCATCTGAAACTTTTCTCTCACATTAAACTGAAACACCTTATGTCAGGATGAAATGCATACCGCAGCACAGCTTAAAGATACAACCCTTACCTTTAACAAACACAAACAGTTCCTCTGTAAAGTTGGATGTCAGCAGAGCATTTCGCTTGTTGATGGCTTGCACTCTGACGTCATAACCGGTATTCAGTACGAGACCGGATATATGGGCATAAACAATATGTCCAACTCCCGGGTCCTCGTCGACCTTCGCGTAGACCCAGCCTCTGGTGGAGTCCGCACGTTTGTATGACAACTCAAAACGTTGATCCCCTCCCCCGTTGAACCCTGACCTCCACGTGAACCAGAAGCCGGCTGTGAAGTTGTCCACTACTTGAAACTGAAGGGGTGACTCCGGTCGAGCTGCAAAAAGACAGATCTAAATTACTGCTGCTGCCGCTGCTGCTACTGCTGCTTCCACTACCGCTACCACCACCACCACCACCACCACCACCACTACCACCACACTACCACTACTACTACTACACGCACTACTGCTACTACTACTACTACTACTACTACTACTACTACTACTACTACTACTACTACTACTACTACTACCATACTGCCACTACTACTACTACTACTACCACTGCACTACTACTACCATTACACCACTGATGCTGTCACCAACACTACCTACCTACTACTACTACTACTACTACTACTGATGCTGTCTACCCAAATCAACTTGACGGGCTCTTGACTTCGCCCGAATGCAATTACGTCATCGAACAATTCAAGTGACGTCACAACAGAAAGTGACGATATTCAACCTTGGCCTTTGACAAGACTTCATAGCCTGCAACATGTCAAACTATGACAGTGTTCTGGTTTTGGTCCAACAACAGTTCCATTAGTGCAATTGTTAAGGTTAGCAACTCTAACAAGAAAGTCAATATTACCACTATTTAAAAGTGGAATTTGGGTTGCTTTGACTTGTTTGACCCAGAATATCTGCCAGTCGAAAGCCACCATTAATGTCGAACTAATGACGTCACTTGACAACAGAACTGATAGTGGCCCGTCGTTAAAGGTTGAGACGGTCCACATCATTTTTGCAGCGGACCGCAAATTTGATAATGGGAGGGCCAAGTTTCCATGATAATCCATGTGCATTTTAGCTATAATACTACTACAAATACCTCACTACTACCGCTAATACCACTACTGATGCTGTCACTACTACTACTACTACTACTACCATACTGATGCTTCACCACCACTACTACTACTACTACTACTACTACTACTACTACCGTTTTACTGATGCTGTCACTACTACTACTACTACCACTACCAACACTACTACTACTACTACCACCATTATTGATGCTGTCACTTGTCACTACTACTACTACTACCACCACTCACCACTACTACTACTCACTACTACTACCACCACTACTACTACCATTATTGATGCTGTCACCACTACTACTACTACTACTACTACACTAATTACCACCACTACACTACCACTGCTGATTAACTACTACTACCACTACAACTTCCACTACTACTACTACCACTACCACCACTACTACCATTTACTGCTGCTACCACCACTGCTACTACTACTACTTTACTCACTACCACCACTACTACTACTACCACTTCACCACCACTACTACTACTACTACCTTTACTGATGCTGTCACTAATACTACTACTACTACTACTGCTGCTGCTACTACTAGTACTACTACTACTGCTGTCACTAATACTACTACTACTACTACCATTATTGAGTCTGTCACTACTACTACTACCACTACTACTACTACTACCATTACTGATGCTGTCACTACTACTACTACTACTACTACTACTACTACTACCACTACCAACACTACTACTACTACTACTACCATTATTGATGCTGTCCCTACTACCCCTACTACTACCACCACTACTACTACTACTACTACTACTACTACCATCACTACTACTACTACTACTACTACATTATTGATGCTGCTCACTCACCACCACTACTTACTACTACCACCACTACTACCACTACTACTACTACCACTACCATTACTGATGCTGTCACTACTATTTCTACTACTTCTACTACCACCACTACTACTACTACTACTACTACGACTACCACTACTACTATCATTACTGATGCTGTCACTACCACTACCACTACTACTACTACTACTACTACTACCACTACTACTACTACTACTACTACTACTACGACGACTACTACTACCACCACTACTACTACTACTACTACCACTACCACTACTGCTACCATTATTGATGCTGTCACTACTCCTACTACTACTACTACCACTACTGCTACCATTACTGATGCCACTACTCACTACTACTACTACTACTACTACGACTACCACTACTACTACCATTACTGATGCTGTCACTACCACTACTACTACTACTACCACCACTTCTTCACTACTACTACTACTACTACCACTACTGCTACCATTACTGATGCTGTCACTACTACTACTACTACTACTACGACTACCACTACTACTATCATTACTGATGCTGTCACTACCACTACTACTACTACCACCACCACTACTACTACTACTACCACTACTACTATCATTACTGATGCTGTCACTACTACTACTACTACTACGACTACCACTACTACTATCATTACTGATGCTGTCACTACCACTACTACTACCACTACCACCACTACTACTACTACTACTACCACTACTACTATCATTACTGATGCTGTCACTACTACTACTACTACTACTACTACCACTACCACCACTACTACTATTATTACTACCACTACTACTACTACCATTATTGATGCTGTCACTACCACTACTACTAATATTACTACTACTACTACTACTACTACCACTACTACTACTACTACCATTATTGATGCTGTCACTACCACTACTACTACTACTACTACTACTACTACTACTACTACTACTACTACCATTATTGATGCTGTCACTACCACTACTACTACTACTATTACTACTACTACTACTACTACCATTACTGATGCTGTCACTACTACCACTACTACTACTACTACTATTACTACTACTACTACTACTACTGCTACTACTACTACTACTATTAGCTGGAATATTGCTGAGAGCGGCGTTAACTAAGCTCACTCACTCACTCACTACGACAACGACCCAAACCCAACCCACATGGGTACACTGCAGTGTACATCAAGTACTGCTCCTGCCACTACTCCTGCAGTTACACACTGTACCACTACACCTACATGGTACACCTATTCCATTACAAAGGTAATATTGTTTCGCTCTCACCGCGTTCTCTTGAACGGAAGATTGCATGTATGGATGTAGACTGAGGTATACTACAAAAGGATGCACCGTAAGGCGTTGAATACTGTCTCAGGACACTTACTCATGTAATGCTTCTTGTGAATATATGTGTACAGCTTAAAGCTTACCACTACACCGTTCAACCTTCAAATCAGCCGATTCTTGTCGAGGTTTCTAAATCCCCGATACAAGTTAGCAAAACCCTATTTCTGAAACTCGCAATGTTACCAAATCCACAGTTTCGGAATCGAAAGCATAAGGTGGCACTCAAAGCCCGTTTAAGCAATATCACAAGATCAAAAGAAAAAGGTTTCTCAATTGGTACAAATGGTGGGAATCGAACCCGGGCCATGTGCGTCATGAACGAACGATTTATATACCGGGTTTCCTGACACCCCTATCTTATTACATTTGACTGACGTACCCGTCCGTCTTAGCTCGATGACGGCGGAGGTGCACCCACCACGTGTGCATGCTGTGACATAGTGGTATCCGAAGTCGGAGGACGATGTCGTCAGCGTTCTGAACAAACGTGACCCTGAAACTTCGACGGGTGTGCCGTGCATGCGGTAGCCAATAGCCACTTCCTCCTTGGATACCGGCTTCAGCTCCTCGCCATCTTTGCTCCATTTGAATACCGACAGCGTCGACAAATTGAGGAACGTAGCCCGCAACGTCGTCTTGATGTCAACTTCTGCATACACAACGTCATGGGCGGCAGACATCAACCTCGGCGCCATGGCAACTGAAGAATTAGACAAAGTGGTACATTCATCAGCCTGTTTCTAATAATTCATATACTTTCCTACTACTACTACTACTACTACTACTACTACTACTACTACTACTACTACTACTACTACTACAACAACTACTGCTACTACTGTTGCTATTACTGTTGCTGCTACTACAACTACTGCTGCGTCTACTACTACTACTACTACTACTACTACTACTGCTGCTGCTGCTACTACTGCTGCTGCTGCTACTACTACTGCTGCTTCTACTACTACTGCTGCTGCTACTACTACTACTACTGCTACTACTACTACTACTGCTGCTGCTACTACTGCTGTGACTACTACTACTGCTGCTGCTGCTACTACTACTGCTGCTGCTACTACTACTTTGCTGCCACTACTATTACTACTGCTGCTGCTGCTACTACTACTTCATAACTGCTGCTGCTACTATTACTACTACTACTACTGCTTGCTGCTGCTGCTACTACTGCTACTGCTGCTGCTGCTACTACTACTACTACTGCTGCTGCTGCTACTACTACTACTACTGCTGCTGCTACTACTACTACTGCTGCTGCTGCTACTACTACTACTGCTGCTGCTGCTGCTACTACTACTACTGCTGCTGCTGCTGCTACTACTACTACTGCTGCTGCTGCTACTACTACTACTACTGCTGCTGCTGCTACTATTACTACTACTACTACTGCTTGCTGCTGCTGCTGCTACTACTACAACTACTGCTGGACAGGGTAGGTAGGCTCAATAACTTGATTGTTGACGAGATACCGAACGCAGACTTCCTCGGTCCTTGATTCACATGCACGCACGCGCGCTTGGACGAACGCACAACCATACACTCAGACACACAATGTGTGAGTGAGTAAAGTCACATCGGCCATATCGTGACTATAAACCTAAATATTTATAAAAACGAACGATATAAATAACTGTCAATAAAGGACAGTAAAATAACTAGGCTATCTCAGATCTAAACTTAACAAGCATGTAACCGCAAAACGATATTTCTAAATGCAACACGTTATAAAAACGGGTTATGCTGTAGATCAACATACTAGATGTGACACAGACACAGACACACAAAGGCATAGACACAGTTACACACAGACACATACGTAGACATAGATACAGACACACGGACACACAGACATAGTTATACACAGCACAGCCACACGTAGATACAGATACACACAGAGAGACACAGACACAGTTATACACAGACACAGCCACACTCATAAACATAGATAAAGACAGAGAGACACGGTTACAGACAGACACTCGCAGACATAGATACAGACAGACACAGAGAGAGACACAGTTACACACAGACACTCGTAGACATAGATACAGACAGACACACGCAGACAGAGTTACACACAGACACTCGTAGACATAGATACAGACAGACACACAGAGACAGAGTTACACACAGACACTCGTAGACATAGATACAGACAGACACAGAGAGAGACACAGTTACACACAGACACTCGTAGACACAGATACAGACAGACAGACACAGACAGAGTTACACAAAGACACTCGTAGACTTAGATACAGACAGACACACGCAGAAAGAGTTACACACAGACACTCGTAGACATAGATACAGACAGACACACGCAGACAGAGTTACACACAGACACTTGTAGACATAGATACAGACAGACACACACAGAGACAGAGTTACACACAGACACTCGTAGATAGACATAGATACAGACAGACACACAGATACAGACAGACACACACAGAGTTACACACAGACACTCGTAGACATAGATACAGACAGACACACACAGACAGAGTTACACACAGACACTCGTAGACATAGATACAGACAGACACACGCAGACAGAGTTACACACAGACACTCGTAGACATAGATACAGACAGACACACACAGAACACAGATACACACAGACACTCGTAGACATAGATACAGACAGACACACAGAGACAGAGTTACACACAGACACTCGTAGACATAGATACAGACAGACACACACAGACAGAGTTACACACAGACACTTGTAGACATAGATACAGACAGACACACACAGAGTTACACACAGATGCTCGTAGACACAGATACAGACAGACACGCAGACAGAGTTACACACAGACACTCGTAGACATAGATACAGACAGACACACACAGACAGAGTTACACACAGACACTCGTAGACATAGATACAGACAGACACACGCAGACAGAGTTACACACAGACACAGAGTTACACACAGACACTTGTAGACACACAGACACTCGTAGATACAGATACAGACAGACACACAGTAGACAGAGTTACACACAGACACTCTGTAGACATAGATACAGATACACACGACAGACACACGTAGACTGAGATACAGACACACGCAGACAGAGTTACACACAGACACTTGTAGACATAGATACAGACAGACACACAGAGACACAGTTACACACAGACACATACGTAGACATAGATACAGACACACGGACACACAGACATAGTTATACACAGCACAGCCACACGTAGATACAGATACACACAGAGAGACACAGACACAGTTATACACAGACACAGCCACACTCATAAACATAGATAAAGACAGAGACACGGTTACACACAGACACTCGCAGACATAGATACAGACAGACACACGCACAGAGAGTTACACACAGACGCTCGTAGACATAGATACAGACAGACACACACAGAGTTACACACAGACACTCGTAGACATAGATACAGACAGACACACAGACACACAGACAGTTACACACAGACACTCGTAGACACAGATACAGACAGACACACAGACAGAGTTACACACAGACACTCGTAGACATAGATACAGACAGACACACACAGACAGAGTTACACACAGACACTCGTAGACATAGATACAGACAGACACAGACTCAGGCACAGCTACACAAAGACACTCGTAGACTTAAATTCAGACAGACACACACAGACACAGGTACACACAGACACTCGTAGACATAAATACAGACATACACACAGACACAGTTACACACATACACTAGTAAACATAAATACAGGCACACACGGACACAGCTACACACAGACACACGTAGATATAGATAAAGACAGACACACACAGACACAGTTTTGCACAGGCACATACACTCGTAGACATAGATACAGACATAGACACAGACGCAGTTACACACAGACACCCGTAAGATAGATACAGACAGACACACACAGACACAGTTTTGCACAGGCACATACACTAGTAGGCAAATTACCTTTCTCGGAAAGGTCGATGGATTCAGTGGATTTGACTGATCCAACTTGACAGCCATAAGTCCCTGCGTCCTGCAGGGTAAAATCCACTACTCTAAGAGTCGAAGCATGTACATCCACTTGTTTAGGGATCAGTCGAATTACCTCCCCTTGCCAAGTTTGCGTGAAATTCACGGTGCTGACGGAGGTGAAATTGGCCACGGTACAGTTGAGACCGACGGCGTCCAGTTCCTTGGGGTCGTCAGTCACAAGGACTATGTTTAACGCTTGAGCATCTGAAACACAACACCAGTAGACAGCATGGAACATGGCGGAGTGAATGACGATCGGATGGAGCACTATGGAATAGTTGGGTGGAAGATAGCGGGGTGGAAACTTATAGGGTAGAAACCGGGTTGAACATGACATGGTGAAGTGGGAACAGGTGCTGCATTATGTGGGAGGAAGGAGAATGGGTGTGTATACGGGTGAACTATGAAAGAGTGGAATATGACGGGGTGGGTGTGATTGGGTTGAGCATTGTGTAGATGGAGGGAGATGTGGTGTGTATACGGGTGAACTATGATAGACTGGATCATAATAGGGTGGAATATGGCGGGGTAGGGTGATTGGGTAGAGCATTGTGTTGTTGGAGGGAGATGTGGTGTGTATACAGGTGGACTATGATAGACACATGTATATCATAATAGGGTGGAATATGGCGGGGTAGGGGTGATTGGGTAGAGCATTGTGTTGTTGGAGGGAGATGTGGTGTGTATACAGGTGGACTATGATAGACTATATCATAATAGGGTGGAATATGGCAGGGTGGGGGTGATTGGGTAGAGCATTGTGTTGTTGGAGGGAGATGTGGTGTGTATACGGGTGGACTATGATAGACTGGATCATAATAGGGTGGACCGTGACGGGGTAGGGTGATTGGGTAGAGCATTGTGTTGTTGGAGGGAGATGTGGTGTGTATACGGATGGACTATGATAGACTGGATCATAATAGGGTGGAATATGGCGGGGTGGGGGTGATTGGGTAGAGCATTGTGTTGTTGGAGGGAGATGTGGTGTGTATACGGGTGGACTATGATAGACTGGATCATAATAGGGTGGAATATGGCAGGGTGGGGGTGATTGGGTAGAGCATTGTGTTGTTGGAGGGAGATGTGGTGTGTATACAGGTGGACTATGATAGAGTGGATCATAATAGGGTGGAATATGGCGGGGAAGGGTGATTGGGTAGAGCATTGTGTTGTTGGAGGGAGATGTGGTGTGTATACAGGTGGACTATGATAGACTGGATCATAATAGGGTGGAATATGGCGGGGAATTGGGTTGGAGTGAGATGTGGGTAGAGCATTGTGTTGTTGGAGGGTAGATGTGGTGTGTATGGAGGATGGGGTTGAATATAGGGGTGATTGGGTAGGAGCATTGTGTTGTTGGAGGGAGATGTGATAGACTGGATCATAATAGGGTGGAATATGGCGGGGTCAGGGGTGATTGGGTAGAGCATTGTGTTGTTGGAGGGAGATGTGGTGTGTATACGGGTGGACTATGATAGACTGGATCATAATAGGGGGGGTGTGATTGGGTAGAGCATTGTGTAGTTGGAGGGAGACGGGTTTGTATGTTAAGCAGAAAACTCGCCCCAGAGGTTTTGGTAGAGAATGTAACACCGAGGTAGAAGGGAAATCCCGAGGGGCTTTACGAGTAAGAGAAAACACTTCCCCTCGGTTTTGGTAGAGAATGTAAAACCTTGGGAGGAAGGAATTCCCTTGGGGCCAAGGTTTTACATTCTCTACCAAAACCGAGAGGAAGTGTTTTCTCTAACTTATAAACCGTCAAGTGGAATTTTAAAACACAATGTAAAACAAATGCCTTATAATGTAAGCATTCGAGTTACATCGAGGCAGTCCACACAACCTTCACGCGATCGGTTCACGGACGGCACGTGCAGATTTGCACACGTGGCTTATTGCAGCAGCGTGTCTCGCTCACTTTGGACGGAAACGTACACCATGTCGGACGTTGAAGAAGATTTGTTCATTACCCAGTCTACTTTTATTGCGCAAAAAGAAGACTTGGTGAAAGCCAATGAGGAAGGTGCATATAATGATGCAGACGAGTTTAACTTTCGTTTCGCCCAGCCTTTGACAAGTTGGGAGTTGGAGCAGAAGATGAAAATATGAGTCCCGAAAGGAACTAAATATACAAGAATACAAGAATGACTGGTCCTTGAGTGTATTTCGTCGGTGGCAAGAAAAGCGTCTGCATAGACCTGTAAGTGATAACTTGTCGCTTCCGACCTCATGTTTGACTGAGGACGTCCTGCAAATGGGTGCTGCCGATATGAATACTGCCCTCAAATATTTCTTATTCGAGACCAGTAAACGAGATTGCTCGATATAACCTGCTACAACATTATACGCCATGTTTACGGCATTTTCATCTGCACTAAAAACGAGTGAGTCGGGGATACATCTGATGGAAGACAGTGATTTTGAGGAAGCTAGACAAGCTCTTGATGCGGTCGCGAGGGAACGCTCTGCGTCTGGTATGGGTACTTCAAGTAGAAAGTACACTGAAATTATAACTATGGATGAGGAAGACGATCTTTGGAAGGCAGGTGCGCTGGGCGACCAGAACTAAAGACCGCAGACCAAATTTTTAAATATAAGTAATATTTTTTTGCCTATTTAGTTTAGGTCTAGTAACCACTGAGAAGTAAAGAAATATTGTATCTTTTACAAAAAGGTATATGCTTTAGGCCACAGAGGTCCCCCAAGCGGAACCTCCGACGTCTACCATTTTCGCATTTTTAAAAACAATTTTGGCCACTCAACTGCTCCAAGGAAATGTAAGTTTTCATGGAAAAAACTGTTCCAGTCTGTTAAGCAGATGTTGTTGCATTATTCCCCAAAGTTTCCTTTGAAAATATTCATAATTTTTTTAACTACTGGTATGTGTCTGTATGGAAATATCGTTGTGAGACAAAAACAGAGACAAGATCAAGTCACAAAATCATGTTTATAGTCATATTATATTTTCTTCTAAGCAATTATGCACATAGTATCACTGACTGTTGTCCCTTTTAGTTCCGAATAAACTTACTTCACCCTATTCATGTCTATTTACATGCATTCAAGAACAAAAGTACAATTTTTATCATGTTGCTTTTACTAAGGTTTTGAGCCAAAACTACCACTCAAAATTCCTCTTTACTATTGTGTAAATTTCAAAATGAAATCCACGCATGCACGTCGTCATATGAGCAAAATATTCTCAAGCACGACGTAAAACCCAGTTGCACCTCACCTCACCTCAAAAGGAAATCATATTAATAAAAACACTCATTTGATTCTTGAAAATTATTTTTAAAGATAAGAAAAATGTGAGCAAATTTTAAAAGTATTCAAAAACCATAATGATTGCTTGTTGTATACATGTCGCATTTCTGTCTTGAACGCAGTAAATAGTTCATATAATTGTTGAAAGTTGTCCATAATCCAAATATATTACATGATTTGACACTTTTGTTCAGAGTATACTTGAAATGAAACCTCACACAAAGAAGATCATACACATAAGAAACGTTCTTTTCAGTCACTTCATTGTCTAACTATCTTTCAGTTTCAGCACTGGTCCTGGATGTTTCCAATCTGTTTCAGAAATACGTGAAGAAAATACTTGAGTGTAAAATTAAACATCTAGACTAGACAGTTGCCATTACATCAGCACCGCTAAGACCAAATACATACACATGACATCAGCTTAGAATCATTGTGAAAATGATATGGACAAATACGTTTCAGAGTTTGAAACAGCTCAAATGAAATATATCTTGAGGCATTGTGGCATTTGCACTGTTCTTCAAACCCTTGTGTTTCCAGTATCTAGCTTCACTTTGTAGGAGCAATACATGTTATATGATAGATAGATAGATAGAGAGAGAGAGAGAGAGAGAGAGAGAGAGAGAGAGAGAGAGAGAGAGAGAGAGAGAGAGAGAGAGAGAGAGAGAGAGAGAGAGAGAGAGAGAGAGAGAGAGAGAGAGAGAGAGAGAGAGAGAGAGAGAGAGAGAGAGAGAGAGAGAGAGAGACAGAGACAGAGAGACAGAGAGACAGAGACACAGACAGAGACAGAGACAGAGACAGAGAGAGAGAGAGAGAGAGAGAGAGAGTTTTAATACAGCTTTTAAATGTATTTTGTTATGATTATGAATAGGTTATTGACATGTTATCATAGACAGTCATAACAAGTTTTCATATTTATCTTCCACAGTATTTTCTTCCAGATGAGGCATTCTTCAACCCTTGTAGCCGGAATCTCTAAAACACAACGATTTCAATACAATATATAACATATCTATGTGATATAATACAATAATATATGTGCATTCTTAGCAGCCAAATACTTGACAGTTCTGAAAAACCTAAAGCACATAAGAGGAGATTTAACCTTAAAAGATTCAATTGTCATCTGACATTTAGGCAGTAACCTTTTATTAAAAACACTTTCATTATTTTTTAAAAGATAAATCAGGGTTTAATACTAAACCTCTATGCAATCCATAACATTTCACAAATTATTAATGGTCCTTCAATCATACATTCATTCTGGGTTTCAATAACTATAAGTCAGCTTTAATTAAGTGAACACAGTAAAAAAACTATTATTATACACGCAAGTGTTACCACTATTTCAACACACTAAAACGAACATGTAATGAGCCTTGTCTTTGCTAAGAGACGGGGATTGTTTACATGCATATAGTTTGAAAAAAATCATACTCAGGTTACCATGGCTACTAAATTGCAATTTGTAAACAAAACAAGAGTGACAAGTTCCTGTTAATTTCTACTTCAGTTAAGAGTAACTTTCTCAAATACGATTAAAACAACACTAAAAATGTTCTATGATCAGGAGAATCCAGGAAACTTGATAAGCAAAGGCGTTATTTATAAAAACTTTCGCTGTGAAAAAATAGCTGAATATCTGCGTCTACTTTCCCCGCTTAATATAACGGGCAGATAACTCTAAATGACCGAGGTACGCAGATTCGCGGCAATGACACCAGAAAAGTTTAAGTCTCATTTCAGTAAGTTATATACTTCCTAAAAATACCAAACTTTTTGTACGTGTACATTAATAATTATATTAAGCGTATTTGCCCATACTTCAAGAAAATAAATACTTTTACAATATTTGGCATACGTTTAAAAAAGAGCTAAGTTAAACTTACCGTCGTTTCTTCATCTTTCGTTGCCAGATGTTAGTTTTGCAAAATACG